CACACACACACACACACACACACACACACACACACACACACACACACACACACACACACTTATATGTGGCTTTCATGTCAACTGGATCATCAGCGTGCCTAAAAATCAAAGCAATGAAAATAAATCAACGAATAATACGAGGCTCAAAAGATTAATAAATCGTATCAGAAAAATAAAAGAGCTACAAGCCAAAGCTCTTGCTAAATTTATAACACTGAATGTTCAGTGCTGTAAATTTAATGTAATGTAATTCATTAGATTACATTATACGATAATTCGCTAGATAAATTCCTGTTGAATTATTGAACAGGCATCCATACATTCTTGAATTACTATAACAAGAATTTATTTAGCGAATTATTGTATGTAATGAATGTCTTAAGCTGAACATATTGTTAAACCGATATATGCGAATTTACAATTCTTTTTCATACAGTAATGCGTTTTAACACTAAGGAAGATATCTTATCGAAGGATCAAAACATTTGTTTATTGTAGTATATTAAATTTATAGCTGTACATCTTGCTCTGGCTCGTAGGCTTTTATTTTACTGAGGAAAATAAATGTTCAAGGTCTAAAATAATTCGTATATGAATGTACTTCCGAAAGAAACGCCTTTTGAAGAATCCAATATAATGGATCCAATATGGCGCCGAGAAGCGATGAACATTACAAGCAAATTTAACACTTTCTTAATTAAACCACTGTTCTCATCTAGTTGTTCTTAAACTTTAGAGATTTAATAATAAGTATAGGGCTACAAGCCAAGCAAGGTCTTATTGCTGAGTTATTATGAAACAAAAGTTTATTATAATAAATGTTTCGACCCCAATTGGGTCATTCTCAATGTTGAAATTAATACAATTTGAAATCAACGACTTATTTGAAAAACAACTTCCTAATACATATGATAAGATTTATCTTATACTTATTATTAATTTTATAAATTATTTGAGCTTTTTTCTTATTATTTTTTAGAGATTTAAGTTCTATAACCTTTAATTCTATTTTTTTAAATTCTTTTCAAGCTCTTAAAGGAATCCTAAAGCCGTCTGTATTACCGACTATAAATCAATAATTTATGTATAACAAATATTTTTTTCTTTTTCACAGATTGGAAAATCCTTTTCCAGGATTAAAGTATACGCATTAATATGTGTTTGTGAGGTGAAGTTTATGCCGAGAAAGACCAAAAATTTCGAAATTGATATATCTTTTACTATTTCTTAGTGTAACATGGCGTCTCAAGCTGTTAAGTGACAACATTTGCTTGATACGAAAGTTTTGCAACCTGCTGTACCTACGAAATAATTCACATACAGGTAGTTTGCACGAACGTTGAGTTCTTAGAATTAGACGCTTCATCGCGACGAATTTGTTATACGAAAATTGACACGAATGTACGACTGCGTGTATTATAGGTTGCGTGAGATATTGGTGTGGTAGTATATAAAAACATATTGATGCGCGGCGCGCGGCGCGACCTCTGGTGACTTCGTCGGAGTTCGAGCTTCGCTTTAGGATCCCCTTAAACATCCTATTAGGTGTTTAAGGGCTTAATGTTTAAAGGTGCCTTTTCATATTGACGCTCGACTCTCATTTTAGCGTCAAAACAGATCACGTGATAAAAATTGACGAATATCAAGCGTCAATTACGATCACGACCTATTTTAACGCTAAAAAAATGAGCGTCGAGCGTCGGCATGAAAAGGTATCTTGAGAGAATAGAATCCTAATCGTTTTCAAGCGTTTCAAGTCAATTAGGATCAGTATACAATGCACAATGGTTTAATCAAGAAGAGGCGTATTTTTGTTCTTATACCACGGTAGTGTTTGGAGTGTTTCGGGCTGTAACGTCACAAATAGATATCACTATCGAAAATGATATTTCACTACCACTATGGAAACATCAAAAATACACTTGTGTTATTTGGGAAAATATTAAAACACACACATATATATATATATACAGGGTGGGGAAAAAGTATGGAAGCAAACAATTATTTCCGAAACTATTCATTTTTCGACAAA